GCGGGGCAGATGAGAAGCAGGGGGAAGTCTCTGAAGGCCAAAGACGGTAATGTGTCCGGCCGGGGAGGGGGGTGGGGGACCGGGAGGCGTTCACCCGAGTATTCCCGTGCGGGTACTTTGACAGCAGAGTCTGGCCTTTGAGCAGAACGAGAGGAAGGCCAGACTGATCAACGCTCAAGGGAAGATGTCATTTGTGTCATGGTGGTTTCCAAACAATAAGCCTGGCAGGTGGACTTTCCTATCCCTAAAAAACACTAGGCTTCAGAGTGCTTCTCCCTCTGTCTTGCCGCTTTAAGCAACGTACTGTAGGCCCAGGTTGCTTCTCAATAACGACGCTGTAGCTCGTCAGTGAAACAGCGCAGGAGTTATGTACCAAAGAGGTGGAGGGAGAGGACAAAAAGACCCAAAGGCTGAAGAGGATTCAACCCACATTCACGTAGCGAAGGGTAATTCTGAGGACTGGGGGTGGTGGAAAGCCTTAGCAGTCACTTACGTTTTAAGCAATCTTCATCTAATGGGTACTCTACCATATTGTTGCATTTTAGGACAAATACCAAAAAAAAGCATTGTTAGGTGCACAGTAGCGTGTGGATGAGAAGTAAGCTGAACATTGATTAGTAATTATGGTGACCCAACGTGAGAAGTTTTCTTGTAGCGGAACAGTAGCTTGGAACCTAAGGAAAAATAGCGATGTTCCTTAAATGGTAATAAATGAAGTTATGTGAAAAACCGAAAGCTTTTTTCTGCGCATCTTTTTATCTAGGCAAACTGCCGTTTTGCGCCATGGGTGTGAGCTCTGTTATCCATCCAAAGAACCCTCATGTTCCAACCATGCACTTCAACTACAGATACTTTGAAATTGAAGAAGCAGACGGTAAGAATTTTAATCCAATGAAGTACGTATGAAATGTGTGACTCCGCGTGAAGGAAGCGTGAACGCATGGCTAGCGTAAGAGGTTAAGAACCGGTCCAGGTTTGTTCCCAGCTGTGCCAAGAGTCTGTTGTGTAGCACTGTGTCTTGTAACCTCTGGGCCTTTGCCCATTTGTAAAATCAGTGTGATGTGTGCATCTGGTCCAGTAAAGGGGTTTGCAGTTTACTTTTTGCAGCGTAGACCAGGGGTTTCAGACTTAAGTTAAAGTGTAGGAGGTTATAAATAAGTGTAAAACATGTTCAAAGAAGCAAGTCTAGAATTTAGTAGAAGAAAGGTCTGTGAAGGGCTGGTAAGCATCTGGTCGGGATGCACCTTTGTCTCAGAGGCTGGGAGGACGTACTGTCAGAAACATCACTCTCTACGTGCACCATGCCTTTTTTCCCCCGAGTTTCTGCAACTTGCCGCTGTCAGAAGCAGGTGGTCTAACACTGACAGCCTGTCTGTACCAGTGTACGTACACTGTCACAAGCTCAAAGAGAGTTTTCTTTCAGTTATTTTGCCGGGGCATTAGGATCATTTCTAGTCAATTACTTCCCTGGATTTAATAAGGATGTTTCCTTTCTTTGGCATGCAGTAAGATGTGTCCGGATTCTTGAATAGGAGTTGCCAGCCCATCTTGTGAAATTGATATCCTATAGTCAGGGTCAGCGGTCCAAAATACTGAACAAATGGTTTTCACTGCTTTGAAATTTGTTTCATGTTTTCCTGAAGTCACTGGTCACCGTGCTACCTCGAACTCAAATTTTTCACGATGGATGTTTAGGAACACCACTGAATGATTTTTTTTTTTTTGTATTGTTAAAGTAGTTGTTAGTTCTTGGTGAACCACTAGCAACGTATTTCTGTTTGGAAGTTTAAAAGAAAAATGTTGCTGCTTGCCTCTCTCCTATAGGAACTAAACAGTGGTGGTTTGGTGGTGGGACTGACCTCACTCCAACGTACCTGAATGAAGAGGATGCCGTTCATTTTCACAAGACTCTGAAAGAAGCCTGTGACAAGCATGGTCTGAAGCTGTATCCCAAGTACAAGAAATGGTATGTGGGGAGAGGTGCACTTGGGTTTCTTTTGTGGGAGCAGAAGGCAGCACTGGATATTGCCAGTTAAGTGTACTCTAGGAACAGTAGGTTCTGCTGCCTTTTGAAAAGTATCAGCAGACCCTAATGAAAATCAGCAAATGTGCACTGGGACAAAATGTAATCTAAAACAGTCTCTTATTTACAGAGGCCTGAGTTTTTCAAATCAGAGGGCTGACGACTAGGATCATAAGTCTACAGCCTGAATAAAAACCAAGCTGACGCTACAAGGTTTTGTAAGCCACAGACTTCACTAGGCAACTTAAAAACTCCTTTTAGCCTCTGGTGTTAAACTAGGACAAGACTTTTGCCCCATGGACTTGCACTAATTCTGCTTACAGTGAACTCATGGTAAACGTGCATGACTTTAGCGTGAGCTCTTGAGCCAGCGCTGCAGTTCTGAAAATCCCATTCCAGTTTTTCTGCCTTCAGTCTGACCTTCATTACCTTTTTTTTTTTTTTTTTTTTTGGCAGGTAGGTAAAGGAGCTTGTCCTTAATGTAGAAGCTTCATAGTTTTGATGGAGCTGTACTTTTTTTCCAGTGACACATTCACTGAGAGTGCAACAGCATATTCTCTAAAGATGCAAACTTTGAATGTTCTTCCTGAGCTGAGAGATACAGGTGATGGGATCCTTCACTGTTCAGCGGGGGCTTGCTGCTCTGTGTCTGATAATCCTATCTGCTGCAAGCTGTGGTATCCAGGAAGGAGGGGTTACCCTTTTGTAAGCTACCAGGTCTTGTCTGAGGACAGGAGATAAAGTGGGAGTTGTAGCATGGGTGTGAACAACTTAGTAGAGAAGCACATCTTATAACCTTAAGACTACGTCTTGTTCTCTTGAGGAATTTTTGCATGGTAGTTCAGAGTGTCTGCCTTAATGGTCAGGTTGTTGGCAGCGTAAGCAGGCTAGTAATGCCAGCTGCAGGAGGTCGGAGAGAAAGATGCCTGTTCTTAGTCTGAGGGCAGTGAGGGGAGGACTAATTGTATCCCATGGACAAAGGCAGTTTTTTCAGTCCCGGCATGAGTGTTTGCTGTAAGCAGCAGCTGTGTAGGGGCAGGTGGTTCTCGCTGCCAGAGCAGTGTGAATCTCCTCTGAGCTTCTACTAATTAGCATTGCCCCTTTTCCCACCTTTCTCAAATGTAAAAGCTCTTGTTATGTTTACCATGCTGTCCTCCTGATGTAGCTTTAAGACTTTTGTCAGGCTTGTTCTCTTCTGCATTTGTGACTTACCCTTTTCTCCTAACTCTTCCTGCTGCTATAAAAAAAAAAAAAGCTGATCATCCCAGTGAATAAAAAAAATAGCATAGGTTATCTGTTATATCTCCACGTCTCTCTCGCTATGGCCATGCCATCTGTATTGCTCGAGAACAGCAACTGTGGATAGATACATGCATGGAAAACTAGTCCTAAAGGAAGGCAGGGTTTCCTTGCTGTTGATGGTTTCTGTTTCCTGCTTCCCTTCCATTTCTTCATCGTCGTGAAGACTTGCAGAGTCTTGCTGCCCAAGCAAGCAACTATGAGCAAGATAGGGTGTGGATACAATGAATCAGCTAATTTATAGTAATTGCACACCTACATACTCCCAGTAAATACAAAAGAGATTAATTGCCTCCCTATTGTAGGATAAGCTGCACTTACTCCTTCATAAACTTGAACATGAGCCGTGAAAAGCCACTGCTAGAATGACTCCATCTTCCAAGTTTAACTATTAAAAAGCCTTTTTCCAAGGAAGGCTGGCTCACTTTTGATTTTTCCTTAAGTGACGGTGGCTTTCTTATCTGGTCTTGGGTTTATAGGTTGTTTTAGTTTTGATGCAGAAAACCAATTCTTTCACTAGAATGGCAAAAACGATAAAGAAATTATCTTCCAAGTTTATTTTGAGTTCATCTAAAGGCTGTACAAATAATTTGGGATCTATATAAAAGTCTGGGAATCAAATCTAGAAAGAGTTTTGAAATCAGGTGTCCCTCCTCCTCGTAAGTAGAGGATATGGATTGGATCACTCCACGTGGAAGCATCTGCCATGGTGTTTGAGTGTTACGTGTTCAGTGACTGTGCAGTGATATGTAGCTTTGCAGGGACTGTTTAATCAGAGCTTTTACTGTAAGTGAACGCAGGAGTGCTTTCCAGGTGGTGCTGTACCGTCCTGGCTCTCAGCAGTCAGTGAAACAGTGCGGCACCCGGCACTGCAGGAACTGACTTTTCATCAGTATTTCACTAGTGCCATCCTGTGCCACGTAACTGTTTGGAGTTCTGCTCATTTCTTTGAATATTGTGGACCATATTAATAATTGTCTGCTACCTCTTCTAGGTGTGATGACTACTTCTATATCAAGCACCGTGGCGAGCGAAGAGGGATTGGAGGCATATTCTTTGACGACGTGGACTCTCCCTCCAAGGAGGAGGTATTCCAGTTTGTGAAGAGTTGTGCCAAAGCTGTTGTGCCTTGTTACATTCCCATTGTGAAAAGGCACTGCCATGACTCCTTCACACCAGAGGAAAAGCTATGGCAGCAGCTTCGGAGAGGACGGTGAGTACTAAAGGAGCAAAAGAATACACGAGAGGTGGATTATGCTGGCGAGAAAAAAATGAGCTAGTTCTTCACGGTTGCAGGGTTTGTTCTGTTGTGGTGTGGGCTAAGTTTGCGTAAGTGCTCTAAAGCCTGCCAGAGAATTTCAACATTTTTGTGTACAGAACTGTTTTTGAAATCCAGTGCCAGATTGCCAGGGAGGGTGCAAAGAAGGTACTAGCGCACCCTCATCTGTATGCCCCGCTCTCCCATGTTGCAGCACAAGCAACCCATACAAAATGCCACAGTTTCTCTGCAACTCCTTCAAAAACCAAGAAAAGCTGCTGCTTTGTAACAAGCAAAGGGGTGCGTGGTGTCCTGAATCCTGCCCTCTCCTGCAGCCCAGTGATGCGGGATACAGCACTGCACCATGACATGAGGAGTGTAAGGGTGAGGGAGTTGTGCTTCCTCCTCAGGAATAAAGCTAAACCCCAGAACGTCATGGAATAACTGTACCCAAGAGTACTTCCAGCTTCTTACGTACATATTTATGCTATCTGATCTTGGCATTGAGATGAGGACGCAGTGAACGTTTTGTAAAGGAATAAAGATACAGAGTGATTTTGTTTTTCTGGCGTGGTCCAAAGTCACTATAACTTAAAAGACTTTTGAGGATGCTTACTAATGTGAACAACTGTTAATGCTGCAAAAGCTTAAGTACATTGGTAGATACAGTTGTACTCCTTTGTCTATGTCCTGTGATTGTGTAAGCATATGGAGAAATGAGAACACCTGTGCTTTGTGCAGAACTGGGCAGTCTTTAGTTTCTGCCTCTTCTGCATAGAAATCTATGAGAGTGGCACAGAGAAGTATTCATAAGCATAAGCATTCAAGTTTAGATCACTGGCCTGCAGCAAGTATTCAAATAAGCACATATGCTTTATTTGGTGAGGCTGCTCCTGGGAGTGCTGGCCTTTCAGGATCCTGCTAAGGTTATAAGAGGGAATAGCTTCTTTAGGTTGCAGCCAGGACCAGCTCATGAGGTCTGCTTAGTTCCCTGCATCTGTTAGCAGGTTACTGGGCTACGCTAAGCTTTCCATTTCTGCAAATAGATAAGCGCTCCTCCCTTCCTGTACTTCTGTTAAGTACTAATACCTCAGTACTGGTTACTAAGATACCCCTGCTGAATTGTCACTGCTCTGGTCCTATGCTGGGGGCAGAAAACTCTCTATTCTGGCACTTAACAAGTCCCAGCCAGCACTCTGAAGCTGTCTGACTTCTGCTGCTTTTCAGCTCTCCCCAAGAAACAAAATCTTGTTCTGACCTTGCTGCTTACGTGTCTTTCAGCATGGGGGACTGCACAGTAGAGTTTTTCCTGTGGTCGTTTCCAGTTCCTTTAAGGCTCCTCTTATGTCTGGCACCACCGCAAAAAGGAGTACTAGCATAACCAAGCTAAACTTGGTGTCGAGCTTGCCAGCGGGGTTGAGGCCTAGGAGAAGTAAGCTATAGTATAGCACCATGCACAATGCTCTCCTTGAATAGTTTGCTCTCGTCTGTTACTTCCTATGCTTTGTGGAGTGGCAAGGTCACTCTTGCATTCCTATGCAGAGGATGCTAGAGAACAGTTGGCCCCAAACCAGGGTTCATTTTGACACCCAACACAGCAGAAAGGCTGGTTTTGTTTGGTGTCTGCTAGTTGAAGAAGGCACAAGGAACTTCTGATAATTACCTTGTTTTTCTGTTACATCTCTTCACTCCCCATAGGTATGTGGAGTTCAACTTGGTTTATGACAGAGGTACAAAGTTTGGCCTTCTGACACCAGGATCAAGAATTGAAAGCATTCTTATGTCTCTGCCACTGACTGCAAGGTAAGGGCATGGATATGTGGAGTTGCAGGTAGGCACTGTTCTTATTAAAACACTTTATAGGATTAAATCAAAGCTCTGTCCTGGTGTTGAGTCTCTTTAACAGTGGTTAGTTCATGCTTGATACAAGAACTGGCCAAATACATGCAGATGCTTCTCTGGGCTGCTACACTCGCGCAGTTGTCAGTAATGGTAAAAATATCTAGAACATAGCCTAGATATTTTCTGACAAAAAAAAAAAGTGGTATTTTTTGTGCTTAGTACCTCTTGATAGATTTCCCCTGCTCGCTCCATGGGTTTTTGTTTAGTAGCTCTTGGAAACCGTGTGAGCTTATGGCAGTCCTGACAAGCCTGTGGTAAGGAAGTCCCATGGTTTAACTGTGTTGTGTGAAAAAGTGCCTCTCTGTTTTCTACTCGCACCTGATGACCTCATTCAACTTTTCAGTGAGTAACCAGATTTTCTTCCTGTTCATTTTCTCCGTAACAGTTCTTATTTTACAGGCTTCTGTTTTTTTCATTGTCTGTTTTCCAGGCTGACAAGTCCCCCTCTTTTTAGTCTTTGTACAGTAGCTGTTCCATACCTTTGATCACATTTGCCACTTTTCTCTAGGCTTAAGTTTTCTATGCCCTTTCTGAACTGGGGATAAGGAGCAGACAACATAAGCTACATATGTGTATCCAAGATGCAGGTGTGCTGCTGACTCATACAGTGGCATAATGATGTTTTAATTCATTATTCCTTTCATAATCCTAATACGCTGTTTGCTGGTTTTGACTACTGCTAAGCATTCAGCTGGCTTTTTCATAGAATTGTTATGATGCCAAGATCTTTTCTGGGCAATAAAAGTTAACTCAGTCTCTTAACGTGTATGTAACTTTTTTCTGTGGGCATCACTTTAGATCAATCATCAACAGTGAATTTCACCTCCCATCTTATTGCTCAGTTGCTTGGCTCAATACTAACTCTCTTCAACTGCCTTTTTAGGTTTTAACCGACCTTGCTTAACCTTGCAATATCAGCAAACTGTCATTTACGGTTTCTGCCCCTTTTTAGGTTGCTTTTAGATATGCTGAGTAGCACAGGCCTTATCATGAATTTCATAAGACTCCATTAGTGACCTCCCTCCACTAGGATAACTGACCTTTGCTTGCTACCCCTTAACCATGAAGGCAGTTCTGGTCATACCATGTAGCTTCGTTCCACTGCCAACACCAGATGTGTCCCTCACCTGGTGGTGTAGCATGGTCCTACCTTTTGAATTCATTGCTGGGATGATCTGGTTTTGCTTGTTTTCATCAACATAAATAGCTCACTTAACAGCATGAATGGGTCCTTCCTGGGAGAAAAACATGGAAAAAGGTTGTACCCATCCCTTTGTGACTGCTGACACTTTTCTTCCTCTGTCATGCCTCTTAATTGCCTTTTCAATAAAAAGTGGTCTCTTATCAACTTCGTTTTTAAAACCAAGATTCAACAAGGACTTGTAGTGCTTCCAGTCCAGCTTCTGGAAAAACTTGCCCTGGGCGGCTGAAAAGATTGCGTCAGGATCAAATGATAAAATTTGACGCTGGCAATTTCCCTTACGACTCGTGTCCTCACTCTCTTTTGTCTGGGTTCTTTTTTGGCTCGTCTTCCTCGTGACACTAGTATGTCACAAAAGACTGCTAAAAGATCTTTGCAAATAAACCTGCGTGCATTGTGCGGTAGGGGGCATTGCTCTTTCTTTTTTCTTTGTTCTTCCAGCCTTTCCAGAAGTTGGGAAAAAGATCAAGCTAACATTTCTCCTGTCTCTTCCAGTGTTGTTATTTGGTTTTGATGAACTTAATGATTTGTTGCCATATCTGTCTACTTGACGTGAGAGTATCAACTGTGTATGCAGCTTTGCATCCTCAGAAAAGGCAACTCAAGTCCTAACACAGCCTGGTGCGGGAGAGGTGGCAGCCAGCTGGGCAGTCTGAGTGAGTTTCCCCTCTCCCTGCAGGTGGGAGTACATGCACACCCCTCCAGAGAGCTCAAAAGAAGCAGAAATCCTGGAGGTTCTCCGCAATCCCAAAGACTGGGTGCACTGACACGGATCGTGAACAAGATGGATTGCTTACACTGAGCCATTATGAAAGAACAGGAACGCCTGCAAACCAGCTCATTCAAACTGCTGTTGCGTGGCGTTTTAGTATAGCTATTTATACTCTTACCTGGTGCCTTAATAATGCTGTAGACTTGTTATAACTTGCAAATATGTGAACTCATTCTTTAAGATTGATCAGCTAATGTTCTCACCCCCGTTGATGTTGCCTTGTGAAGGACTGGTGATACCCTCACAGGACTATTGTGCATGCTTAAGAACTTCCTCAACCGATTTGTTCGCAAAATGGTAAACTACTGTGAAGTGTTCTCCCAGTGGAATGAAAGCATTATCTGTGCCTAAATAGCACTGCTTACTCCTAGAAAATGTTGGAATGTTTTGGAAATTTTTTTTTTAAAGAATAAAGGGAATATTTGATACGATTTTAAACCTTAAAGTCTGCTTTACAGGAAGTTGTGAAAAAGGTGGTACTTAACTATGTTTTTTGAGGCTATCTACCTGGACTTGAGAAGGGGAAAGTGTCTTAAAATGTGCTGCGGTAGCATGACCTGACTGATCAGTAACTGGGAGATTCTGGCTTGGGGCCCGGGTCCCAGCCTTGCCTGATGAGAGCGGAAAGCTGACTGTCCATTTTGAGGAGAAAATCTTTCAGCACTGCCCATCTCAGCTGTGATCAGGACAGGATAGCAACCTGCCTCGGGCCAGCTCCTTTACCAGGGAGGTCAGAGACAGATAAGCAAGCTGTTGGGCGTTGCCCCCGAGGTCCTCCACGTAGCACTTCACGCTGCTCCCAGGGCCGGGCTGATTGTCCTTTTTTCCCCCCGGTACGAAGCTCGTCGAGGAGTCCCCGTGGGGAAAAGCAAGGGAGGCGGTCCCGTTCCCCGCCGCCCGGCTGAGAAAAGGCAGCGCTTTCTCCCCGTCGGGGAATCGAACCCCGGTCTCCCGCGTGACAGGCGGGGATACTCACCACTATACTAACGAGGAGTGAGCTGGAAGCGCTCGGGCTTCCCGCCAGGACG